AGCACCTTCTTTTCTCAGGCCACCCAAATGTTCATCTCCTCCAGGAACACCCTCGCACCCCAGACTGATGTCTAGCTGGATGGCTGGGCACCCCTGGCCCAGTCGAGTTGGCGAGTCGGCCTGTCCCATGAGCCGTCACAGAGACTGTCTCTGTCTCGCATGTGTGCGAGTGCTCCACTCTGATTTATTTATTTATTTGTGGCTCTGTTGCCCAGGCTAGAGTGCCGTGGCATCAGCCTAGCTCATAGCAACCTCAAACTCCTGGGCTCAAGCAATCCTGCTGCCTCAGCCTCCCGAGTAGCTGAGACTACAGGCATGCGCCACCATGCTTTTCTATTGTTTTAGTAGAGATGGGGTCTTGCTCTTGCTTAGGCTGGTCTCGAACTCCTGAGCTCAAGCGATCGCTCCTCCTGTGGGGATTGCAGGCGTGAGCACCTTGTGGGCCTCGATTCTGATTTAAATTGAGGAGGAGCTGCTCAGAGTGCCACTGCTGAGGGCTGGTTAAAATGGAACCTTCCCTTCTTCTGCCCTCCTGCCCGGAGCAAACGTGCTGGGAACCGCTCTGTGAACTCTTCTCCTCTCCACGCTGTGGCCGCTTCTCTCTCAAGCACGAGCAGAGTGAAGGATGGGAGGGAGAGGCTGGGACTTCAAGGTGCAGGTTCCTGGGACAGGATGACCCGAGCGGGCCGCACGCAGATGCTGCTCCTCTTCCCTAAGCCTGAGCCCGCGCTCCGTAGGCTGCCAGGCGGAGCCGCTCACTGGCATGCGGAGGCGCGGTCAGAACGGCTCTTCAGAAGAATGGCCCGGGCTGAGAATTCATCCGCTAGGGAATAATTTGGAAAATGGATTGTGAAGCTCCGGCAGGCGCTAGGCAGTCACTCAGCGGGATTAGTTGCCCAAGATGAAGACCGTCTTCTTCTTGTGCCGCCCTGTCTTCCGGCTCCGCTTCGCGCTCGCCCTGCGGCTCCGAGCCGAGGCTGCGGTGGCCAGCAGCGTCGCCACACACAGCGCCGCCCAGGCACCGAACAGTCAGGGCGTCACCGCGGCCACGTGGCCATGGAGCACGTGCACAAGAATGTTCTTTCGCAGGGAAGGAAGAAGGGAAGAAAGAGCACGAAACCGGGTCCATGAGGAGACTGTGTGCTCTCGCGTCGTAATCTTTGTGACGCTCTCATCATTTCTGTATTGTGCAGGGGTCATTTTTCTGCCGGATTCAGGGCTGGATCTTCAGCCCTCCCTTGAATTATCTGTCCTTCTCTGAGCGAGGACAGCTGTGTGGCCCTGGGGGGTGGGTGGCACGGCCAGCTGAGGGCTGTGCCTGGGACGCAGCGGTCAGCAGGCGAGTTGGGTAGCAGGGTGACTGGCCAAAGAGTGCGTTGGGGGATGCAGATGTCTCAGTTCAAGCCCTCCCTTAGACCTATCCCTGGCCCCCACATTGGAAAGGGAGAATGGGGGCTGGGGTATTTGGGGCTATGGATTAGAGAAGTGTGAAAAATTAAGGAATGCAGTCTATGTAGGTTGGGAGAAGAGAGTGTGTGCGAAAGTGTGTTAGGAGAGAGTGGCTGAGCTGCGGGAGGGCGTTTCACTGCCCTTGTCTGTGGAATACATAAGCCTCCGGGGCTATTGGTGCCAGAGGTGTCGCTGTTTTGTGGGTAGGGACAGTACCCAATGGGTCTAAAAGAATAGTTGGCATGAGGCTCCACCCACCCACCCATCCATCTGTCCACCTATCCATCCATCCGTCCATCCATCCATCCATCCATCTGTTCATCTATCCATCCACCCACCCATCCATCCCATCCATCTGTCCATCTATCTATCCATCTATCCATCCATCCATCCATCCATCCATCCATCCATCCACCCACCCACCCATCCATCTATCTATCCATCCATCCATCCATCTATCCATCCATCCATCCATCTATCCATCCATCCATCCATCCATCCATCCACCCATCCATCCATCTATCTATCCATCCATCCATCTATCCATCCATCCATCCTTCACTCGTGGCACTTGTAGAATGGCCACCTTGCACCACACCATGCTAGGTGCTGATGATGTGAAGAATAAGATCTGCTCTCCCCTCCTGGAGAGCCCAGTGGGGAATACAGCTAAGTAGACCAGCAAAGACAGTCAGCTTGAGGAACACTCTGAGAGAGGGGAGCCCAGCACACCTAGATGAGAAGAGAGGCCTCCTAGTCAGATGGTGAGGGGGAGGGAAAGTCAGAGCCGTGTCCTGGAGGCTGAACTCGTTATAGCAACGTCCTTACCCCAGTAGAGGTTCTGTCACTACTTCCCTTCCAGTTGCAGTGGGAGACAAGTCCCTTCTCCAGGGTTTGGGTCCCCTCGCTGCCCACATCCAGGTGAGGGCAACTCACCCCTCACTTGTCTTCATTCACAACCTTTCATTCTCTGATGCTTTTCTCCCTGCGGTTGAGAGACACATTCAGATCTCTTTCATTTTAAACCTTTAATACAACAATAAAAACCCTCCCTTGACCCCAGTCCATGGTTAGCTATCTCCGTATGTTATTCTCCTGAAAGAGCAGTCCACAGTTACTGTCACCCTTCCCTCTTCCGACTTCAGCAGACAAGACTCCTCCCCTCTTCCCTCCTCCCCAAGTTCTTTCCTGTCCCTGCAGCTGCCTGGGCAGGGGTCCCCGTGTTCTCAGACCTCCGCTTGCTGGCCAGCAAGGTTGCTGGCCAGGGTGGCCCTGACGCAGCTGCCCGTTCCTTCCTTCCTGAAACTCTTTCCCTTGCTTCAAGAACACCAGTCAGGTCTTCCTCCTCGATGGCCCTTGATTCTCTGTGTCCTTTCGGGTGCCCCTTCGTTATGTGTCTGCAGCGGCTCCTCCCCTCACACTGTGCCAGTGGCAGGAGGGCACGCCCGCCGTGCCCTCACCTGCCTCCTGTGCACGCCGGGGCACCGGCGTCTCCAGCTCATCCCCAGCCGGTGGCCAGCTGGAGGTCTCCAGACGCCTCCACCTGGGTGTCCCTGAGAACTCAGACTCACGTGGCCCCACTGAAGTCCTCACCCTCTCCCCGGGGCCACTCTCCCTCCCGTCCTGTCCGCCTGAGTGCACGGCCCCGAGATGCACTGTCGTCTCAGCTGCCTCTCTTCTAACCTCCCTTCCCTGGACCCCACCCAGCCAGCCGCCAGGTTCTGTGACTCTGTGTCCTCAGTGTTGCCTGTGGCCCTCTCTGCCCCACTGCCTCTGCCTTATTTCTGACTCACAGGCTCTCACCTGGACTCGGGAGCCTTGGAATTCCCCGGTCCTCAAATGCTGCCCCCAGGCAGGCACCACACTCCCCCTCTTTCCTCTTGGCCTTGCCCCCACTCCACGCTTCCTCCTCATCTCCACATGGGGCAAGCACTGCACCAGCAACTTCTGGACATCCTGCCGATGCCCTGCCACCCTGCTGTGTGGCTTGAGCATCTGGCGTCACGCGGCCAGGTGGGGGGAGCCAGTGCGTCCTGCACGAGCACATACGGTTGGGTGGAGAATTCACCCCCAGATGAGGGCCATCTGCAAGCCCAGTTTGTTGGAGAGGGTCAGATATCTCACCAGTCCCTATGTGGGCATTCCCTGGAGACCAGGTAGATCCTCCAAGAGCTCCAACTCTACTTGCTGCCTCCTGGGTCTGGGTTGAGACTCCTGTGCCTCGTCCCGACGGTGTCCAGCTGACCTGGCACCAGCAGGCTGCGGGAGCAGGCATGCCCATCTAGATACAGTCATGCATATTCGTTCTTGGTGCCAGTGCAGTAAGGACTTGTCCATTGATTTTGTTTGTAAGAAAATGGAATAGAATGCTTGCAGGACTCAGGGGTTCCCGGGTCAGGAGTGTGCACCCCCGCCCCCGAGGGCACATTGGGAGCACTATGCACATAGCAGACTGCCCCTTGTCCCCAGCCTTCCCTAGCCAGTTCGTGACAGCTGTTTGTTTGAAGGGTCTGCCTTCATCCCAGCTACCCGGGCCCCAGATTTCTTAGACCTCTCCCTCACCCCAACATCAGTCCGTTGACAGAGGGAGTACTGGAGTCAAAGTGTCTCCGACACAGGAACCCTCCTTGCTGCCCACCACTCCCGTGCCCCGGCAGGCCCCTCACCCGCCCTCGCTTGGGCTCCTGCCCGAGCTCTGAGCTGTCCCCCAGCCTCATTTATTCATTCAGCAAACATGTTGGAGCACTCCCTGTGCCAGACGCTGTGGCAGATTCTGGGGACGCCAAGACGGAAAAGCCACAGGCCCTGTCCTGGAAGGGCTCCAGGTCGGGGGCGAGAGGTGGCCGTTCTGCAGATGACGCAATATGGAGCGGGGTCACACCACAGCCGTGGAACAAAGTGGGGGCGCGGTGGGGGAGTGCATTAGGAAAGGCCGCTGGGAGGAGGAGAGATGGGGCCAGGGCTTGAGCGGTGGGTGTCCCCTGGCACACAGTGGCGGGGGGGGGGGGCATGCGAAGGGGAAAGGAGGTGTTTCCAGCCCACCTCTGCCGGCACCTGGGCCACACCTGTCACGTCCCCTTGCTGCCCCAAGCATGCTCCGCCGCTCCCAGTCCCATCAGAAAACCACCCGTACGGCCCACACACAGAGGTCTGTCTTGATATTGTACCCATCCTTTAAGATGCCGTCTCCTTCTAGAGTCTTTCCTGACCTCCTCTCCCGCCTCGACTCTTTAGCATCTCGTGCTTCTGTTGCGGCCCTGGTCATTTTGTGTTCCTTTGTTTTGTTTGCATTTCCTCTTCCCCTCCTATTGTGACTGCTCTGAAAGCTAGCTTGGCCACTGTGCTGAAATGCTAAGGGGCACTTTCCTCAGCAAAGTGCACAGAGGGGATGAAGCGTGCATTTGCGTGCTCATGCTCTTGGCTTTGTTGTTGGGGTAGCTGGAGTGGTCCAAGGCGTGTGACATGGTACAGTATCTGCTATCTATGTGGGAAAGCCCTTGGCATCAGAAGGATATATTCATAGGCACTTTTTCCTCTCTCTGTCAATGTAGGGTTCGATGACCTTCACGTGTGTGCAGATCCCGGCGTCCCCGAGAATGGCTTCCGGACCCCCAGCGCAGGGGTTTTCTTTGAAAGCTCTGTAACCCGATTTCACTGCCAAGACGGATTCAAGCTGAAGGGTTCTACAAAGCGGCTGTGTATGAAGCACTTCAATGGAACCCTAGGTTGGATCCCGAGTGATAGACCCATCTGTGTGCAAGAAAGTAAGTGCTCACCTCTCCATGGCCGCTCCTGTGGTCAGCCCGCAGGGCCCAGGGTGCAGGGCTGTGAGTGGCAGACAGCCCGAGGCCTTGGGTTTTTCTCTCTGGTTCAGGCTTGACCTGCACGCTCACCGGAAAGCAGGAGTGTGTAATGAGGCCTGGAGCAGCCAATCAATTAATTTCTGCATTAGAAGTAATAGTCCTTTTTCTCTATCTCAATTACAATCTAATTTATCTCCATTTTTGTCAATGCAAGAGAGCAACTCGGGTAACATCAGGGCTATTTGTTATTAGACTGTCAAGTCAGCACTTGTCTCCATGTTACTCAATAAAAAGTATAGTAAATATATTGTGCAAAGCTGTATTTAGTGGTAACAGAAGACATGTGTTACTCAGAGGATTAAATCGCTACTTATCAGTTCTGTTAGATGCGATTCATCTAAGAGGAGAAAGAGCTGTGACAAGAGTGATGGAGTGACAAGGCAGACAGTTATTTCTGGCAACTATTCCTGAATGTGTTGGTGGTGACAAGATCTTCACTTACTTCCAGCAATTACCCTGCATCTTTTGGTTGAAACAACTTTATATACTTTTTTTTGGCTTTACTCATGTAGATACATTTAGAGTTTTAAAAAATGCATTGAGTTTAACTAATTGGAATGCCAAATTATTGATGACAAATCTCAGAGGATCAGCAAAGCTGAACTTGGAGTAGGCATGAATCAGGAATTCAATCTAGCCCCAAATTTCCATTAGGCAGAAAACTTATATTTCATTGAGTTCATTAGAAATCAGTTTCAGTTTCTGTTAATACTGTTATTGATTGTATTTTGGGATGGAACTTTTACAGTAATGTTATGTAAGCTATTATGGTGATTTAATGGGTATTTTCTTTGTGAAACTTTTTAAAGAATTTAATTCAGCAAACATTTTTTGAGCATCTGTTATGTTTTTCCCCATGGAAATTGTAAAGGATGGTTAAGAAGGTGTCTCGGCCTTAAAGTACCTGCCATCTTAACTTTTATTTTCAAGGTATTAAAAAGAAGCCAAAATTAGTATAATAAAGATTTAAGGTTTTTAAAACTAAACTCATATTTTCTCTTGCATGCAGCCCACACAAGCTGTGGTTTCCCTAAGATTCCACTTAAAGTTTGCTGGCTTCATATATATAGATTTACCTGCCAAAGTCTATGGCCTGTGTTACCCAACACTTAAAAACCAGTCATTTGGAATAATGTTAGAGAACAAAGAAAACCAAAACAGGCCTCCTGAATATTGCCCAGAGATGAAGGCTTCCTTTATCATCCTAGAAGAAAAAAGTTTATCAATTTTTAGATGAGCTTCTTTCCAACTCTGCACAAAACTACTAGTAGTAATTCCAAGAAAGGGAGTGAGAAACCTCCTTGGAGTGGAAGGCTTCTATTGTCCAGGTTTGATGGTGAGATTCTTAACACTTAGCCGCAGGTGTGCAGGAAGGGCTGTGCCATGGGCAGGCAGCACCTTTATCGTGCGGCCTCAGACAAGACCGCGCATTCCAGAGGAGGGTCCAGGCCTCTGCATTCCAGTCCGGACGTTGTGCTCTGGCCACCATTTTGCAAAGTTTAGAAGAACAGGTGTTACCTCTCTAAGTGCAATGGTGCATTTACTTTTAGAGTTAATGATAATCGTGTTGATTTTCGAAAGGTCTGTATAAAGAGATTGCTTTTGTTGCCTTGATGGTGGAGAAAATCATCGCTGTTAACATCCTAGGCCTTTTTATTCTATGTGATTTATATCTAGGAAGGCGGAGGTGGGAACCTAGAAGTCTATACTGTGGGTGTCACATAGCAGAGAAGCTAAACTTCCTTTTTCCTATTTTGTAAATGTTCCTTCCTCCCTGGGCAAATAGTAAGAGCTGCTGAATTCACTTGTTTCTCTACCAGGTAATTCTTGGGAGGCGAATGAATTTTTGTAATAACAATAATACTTCATCACATTTTTATAGGGCATTAAAGTTTAAAAGTGCTTTCAGATTCACTATCTTATTTATCACGCACAGCCACCCTACAAGACGAGTCTTGCTGCTCTCGTTTCCTGGTTAGGAAACTGAGGCTGGGAGAGGTTCCTGGCTTTGTCAAGGGCACACAGCTGAGAGCAGGCAGCAGAGCCGGGACCAGCCTGAGCCGGCTTTTCTTTCCTTCACAAAAGCCCCACTCGGGTCAGTCCCACAGTGCACACTGGCGCAAGCAGTGACAGCGTCCGGGTTCAGGCCTGAGGGCCTCACAGAAATTACACAGTCCCAGCCCTTATTCTGACTTAGTTCTTGTTCGAACAATAGAGAAACTGAGTCTCAAAGAAGTTAAGAACCTTCCCAGATTGATATGATGAATTAGGGACAGTCCTGTCCTAGCCCAGGGCTTGTCACCATGACCTGGACTCCAACCAGCCTTTCACGCTGCTGGCCAGCCCTGTCAGAGACGCAGCCTTTTCTCTCTCTCTCTCTTTTTTTTTCTCTTTATTATTATTATTTTTTATTTCGGCATATTATGGGGGTACAAATTTTAAGGTTTCAATAAATGCCCTTCCCCCCCCTCCCCTCACAAGTCTGAGTTTCCAGCATGACCATCCCCCAGATGGTGCACATCTCACTCATTATGTATGTATATACCCACCCCCTTCCACCTCCCCCCTGCCCAATACCCTATTACTATAGTACCTATGTGTCCACTTAGATGCTGCTCAGTTAATACCAGTTTGCTGGTGGTACTGTATGTGGTACTTGTTTTTCCATTCTTGGGATACTTCACTTAGTAGTATGGGTTCCAGCTCTAACCAGGAAAATATGAGATGTGCTATATCACCATTGTTTCTTAGAGCTGAATAGTACTCCATGGTATACATATACCACATTTTATTAATCCATTCTTGGATTGATGGGCACTTGGGCTGTTTCCACAGCCTTGCAATTATGAATTGTGCTGCTAGAAACATTCGAGTGCAGGTGTCTTTTTTGTAGAGTGTCACTGGATCTTTTGGGTAGATGCCCAGCAATGGGATTGCTGGATCAAATGGTAGATTCACTTGTGTCGCTTTAAGGTATCTCCATATTGCTTTCCACAGAGGTTGAACTAATTTGCAGTCCTACCAGCAGTGTAGGAGTGTTCCTCTCTCTCCGCATCCACGCCAGCATTTGTTATTTGGAGACTTTTTGATGAAGGCCATTCTCACTGGGGTTAAGTGATATCTCATTGTGGTTTTGATTTGCACTTGGACACGGACAGGATTGACAGATTGATAGCTCTTTCTCGATTCCGTGGGTGGTGGTGCATGGCCGTTCTTAGTTGGTGGAGCGATTTGTCTGGTTAATTCCGATAACGAACGAGACTCTGGCATGCTAACTAGTTACGCGACCCCCGAGAGACCGCAGCCTTTAAACAAGCAAGTTCGTCCGCATTTGAGTGCTTTGTGGCAGTGAGTGTGCACAGAATCCAGTGGTGCTGCGTGACTGCCCCTTGGTGCTCACAGACCCCTCTTTTGTTTCTATGGCATCCTGCCACACGCGTGGCCCCTCCCTTCTCACGCGCTCTCTTATTCCCATCTTAATTGCCTTTGCCAAGTCAATTGGATTCATAGGCGTCTGGACTCACAGAGCCAACACTGCATGGACTGACCACTTTATGGCGCCGAGTCCCTGACCTGAGCTGTCTGTGCTTCTCCCTCCAAGCTGCTTCTGCAGAGCTGGCCCTGCGTGACCCTGAGCATAGCTGAAAATGTCTGTGGCCCAGGGAACAGGAGAGGTGACAAATACAGTAGAGTGGAGACCCTGGAATTGGCAAAGGACTGAAAATATGCCCTGGGGCACAGGGCTGCTGACCTAGTAAATGCTAAACCACAGGCCACCATCTGGGCCACTTCCTTTTTAAAGCCACTCAACGAGGCAGACGTGGGGACACTTTCCCTGAGTAAATAAAGCCCTTTCCTACATTTCATAGGAAAAGGTAGAGGTGAAGCCAGGTCGACTTTACCTGAGTTCACTTCCCAAGCACTATTCAACACCCACGTCCTGTGAGGACAGGCCGGGCACTGTCCCTCCCTGGAGGCCCTGGCAGGCAGCAGTTGGCGCTGTTCACACTCTGGTTTGCGTGCTGTGAAGAATCTGTACATTTAGAGAGTAAATGTCCCAAAGTAAAATTAATTCAGGATCCATTTATAGTATGAACAAATATTTTATGAGAGAGGGGAGAAGAATCAGCCTATATCTTGCCAAAACCTGCTGATTGTCAATAATAATGAAACTATTTCCTTACTTGACCACCTTCCTTCCTGCACAAAAGAGTGCAGCTGGGCTGTGAGTGCCTCTCAGTGCTCACGGCTCCAGCTGTACTAGCGAGAGAGAAGTTTTGTTTTTGCTTTTTACAGAGAACCGAACAACTGGCTGCAGTTCCTGGGTAGGTCGAGCCTTACTTAGGCTACGGGACGATGGTGTACAGCGCCCTAATTCCTTCCCCCTCAGGGGTCGCATTCCTGGAAAGGGTGTGCATGACATTTTTAAAAGCCACATCCCTCTAGCAGGAGCTTCAGCGTCTGCGTGGATTTAGGGTGTCCTTGAGCGCCTTTGGGCATAGACGACATGCTCCGTGCAGGAAGAGGGCTCTTTGCATTGTGGAGTTTCCTTTTCTGGGCTATGTGCTTCTGGAGAGACTACACGAGAGATGCTGCAGGATTAAATTTCTTATAAAATGGGGTATTCACATTTGAGGACTTCTTCACAGAGCTCTTCTCTGTCAGGTGGAGGAGAACCTTTCTCTGTTTTCCCTGACCATCTACCTGAGCACTCTGCCTACTGTCACTGGTTGTGCTGGTCATTTGGTTTCAAGTCAATTTCAGATAAATCCATATTAAACAAATAAAGTACTTTCATGCAGCTGGAGTCCCCCAGGTGTAGCAGACAGGTTGTTTAGGTGAGAGCCTTCCAGAACAGATTCCCAGAACACCTGAAAACCACTGTGGTGCTCTTCTAAATC